ATATATATATATATACGATATATATATTCAATTATTTTGATTATTAAATTCGAGATAATTTATTTAAGAATCTAATAAAATTATTTTCAAGCAATTATGAATTACATTCGATTTATTATGCATTATAATACCATATAAATAGTGATAATCAATTACATTTTTTTTATAAAAAACAAATACTTAACAAAAAGGGAAGAGAAAAATATATTTATTAATTATTATTATATTTATTAATTATTAATTATTATTTATACAAGAAATCAATTTGTGGCTATCAAATAGTTTCGATCCTCGGTCGATACGCACCTGTTTTACATTAAAAACTCCAAATTTTACGTAACAATTTAAAGTGCTCGTAACTAATATTTATTTTAATGGGCTCCTATGTTTGTAACTAATTTTTATGGCTAGATTTCTTCTGAGCACATATGCGAGCGTGTTATAATATAAACACATGCGAGACAAACTATCAAATCGACTTAGCTGGAGGTCTAGTTAGGAAAAAATATTCCAGTGAACATCGAACATTTATGAATCACGTCAGGTGTATGACGAATGCAGCAATTACGTATATAATGTAATTCGATGGAATTAATTACATAATTTAAACAAAGGCTGTATGATCTTATCTAAAAATGCATTAAATTTATTGGTAATATTATATATATATATATATATATATATATATATACATAGCTGGGCATTAACTCGTTAATCCGTTAATCGTTAATTAACGAAGTTAACATTTTTATTAACGGATTAACTTTTAAGTTAACTTTGAAAAATGTTAACGGACACGTTAACTTCCGTTAAAATACGAGAAGTCCGTTAATCGTTAATCCAATGCCTACTATTTACCGCACGGCACAGCTTTAGCCAATGCCTTATTAAACGGCATAGAGAAAAGATTTGGACTACTCCTGAATGATGAACAGTGCCAACTTGCCGCGGAATTTCACCCAAAGTTTCGGTTAATGTGGCTGGAAACGTATGACAGCAGTAGAGAGGAATGCAGTAAGAAAATGCACGGAAAAAAAGGTAGAAGATGCCTTACGGCAAGAATCAGCGCAAAATTCGAAGGACAGAGATAGTTTAAGTGGCGGAGGGAGCAATGCGAGTAACAACGATGATGACGAGAAGGAAGACTTTTTCAATTCTGTCACTCAGTCTATAGAAAAACCAAAGAGCTACAAACTCTTTAAAGAATAAAGCGCAAATTCTCGTTAAAATGTGGCTGGATATGAAATCAAAAGACTCGTTCAACGATGCTGCATTCTTCGGGAAACAGATATTCATAAATCTATTTATTAAATACAATACTGCTATACCCTCAAGCGCTGCAGTTGAACGTTTGTTTTCCACGGTTAAAGACATTTTGACACTAAAACGAGCCTCGCTTTCAGACGAGAACTTCAACATGTTAATGTTCATGAAGGGGAATATGCACCTTATGCCCGACGATTAACCCGACGCGCGTTTCCTATTTTTCGCAAAAACTAGCGGTAAATGGAATTCTGTCTTAAGGCAATTAAGGCATCGTTCCTTAAGGCAAATTGCTGGTACTTTCCGTACCTAAAATTATTGTTTTTTTAAAAACGATTAACATTTTTGAAAAAAATTTACTTCGAAAAAATAAGATTTTTGAGAAACTATAAACTATTGGACAAAAAATTAATTTTTTTTTGAAAAAAAAAATGTTTTCTTTATTTTGACATATTTTGGAAGATCTGAACTTTTTTTCAAAGCAATTTTACTGCTTTAGGACTGCATAGAGACAAAATATAAAGCGCGTAAGCGCCGCGTCGCTGTCTAAAGGATAAACATTGGTACGGAACCCATAGGAATGTAAATAAAATTTATACTTATTGTTAAAATCTTTATAAAATATCTGATAATTTGATGTGCATATGTCTAATGATCATTTTGACGGCCAAATGGCATTTTTTTTTTACTTTTTTCATTAGATCTCCGAAACCGCTAGACCTAACTCCATGAAAAATTGATCAGTTCTTCATAATTGTTAATACAAGTAAAATGTTTTTTGAATTATTAAAATCGGACGCTCCGTTCTCTTAAAACCTGAGTTACCGTTTTTGGCTCAATTTTGCCCCATAACTTCGGAACGGCTAGACCTGCCTTTGCCAAAAACTAATCAGCACGTCTTCTTATTGATACGAATCGAATGTTTTTTGAATTATTCAAATCGGTTGATCCGTGTTCCCGAAATCGTCGACGAAAATTTGTATCCGAATACACATACATACACACACACATACATCCATTTTTTCTAAGGTATGCCAAAATATTCAGAAACCTTTGAAACGTCGAAAAATGTAAAAATTTTCATTTTCGATTTTTTTGCGATTACTATAACTTGCCCTACAGGAAGTTAAAAAAAACTCTTTCCCTTTATTTAGAAAAAAATTTTTGTGAAAACAATATGCAATCATAAAAACGGAAAGTTGACCAATAGCGTTATCACGGTATGTGATAATTGTGCTATTTTCCTTATACACACGGAAGTGTGCATAAAACGCGCGAGGGGTTAAATTACACATTTGAATTATACAAGTATTTTGTTTTATTCATAACCTGTTAACTTCCAGAACCTAAACTAATAAGTTTTTTAAGTTCACTAACGCAACGATATAAAAATGTAATTTTACACATATTAACGGATTAACGATTAACGTTAACTTGCGTTAATTCTTCCGAAATGTAACGCTTTAACGTTTAACGAAGTTAACTTTTTTGTAGCGGATTAACGATTAACGAAGTTAACTATTTGATTAACGGTGCCCAGCTATGTATATATATATATATATATATATATATATATATATATATATATATATATATATATATATATATATGATAGTTTTATCGACGTTGACATATATTTGTAATATTTTTGCAGCCGAATCGTCGAATTAAAAAAAGATTAAATAACAAAATCATTTATTCCTAAACGTTTCGACACTTGATGTGTGTCATCATTCAGTAATCAAACCAGGAAAAACAACAGAAAAAATTAATTATGATGTAAAATTAATTTAACACGAAATTTGTGTAAAATAATAAAATACTATTATATTAACAAACGAAAAATAGAAGAAGCACATATTGCCCTCCTATAATTAATGTTATTGATAGCGGTGCATTGTGGACACTGATGCACCGCTATCAATAACATTAAATATAGGAGGGCAATATGTGCTCCTTTTCATTTCTGTATGCAAGTCAATAAGAGCGCAACAGGGAACTGGTTAAAACACAAAAATAAATTTTGTGATTTTATTTAGTTTTCTTTTTTTGTCATTTCTGAAAATGATCATCGCTACAGTACGATCAGGTTGTCCAGAGCAGGGTTCAAACTCACAACCTCATTCGCACGAGTCCCTGAGCTTAACCTTTGCACCGTGGAACACTCCAATTTAAGGTTTAAGAACATTTTCACAAAAACTTGCATATGTTGAGTGTTGGTTTAATATCATTAATTATATGTAATAATAGACTGTATTGTACGAGTATAATAATATTTGAAGATAATATTGTATATAATACTTTAAATAAATATGTTCAAATAATATAAAAGAACAAAATAACAAACAACCACAAATAATTGCTGTGTGTAAAAATCAGAGTTAGAAAAAAGATAACTAGGAATAAAAAATGGTGATTTATGAAAAACTATTAAGTAAAAAATGTTAGTTTCAAGTTTAACATTTAGTTCACCGTTTGTCTTCAGTAGTTAGTACTACATTTGTCTATTTTTAGATCTATTTATTTATTTTTACTTATAAGTTAATTAAACACTTCGGTTGTTTATTGTTTGCTATTTCTTTTTTTTAATTATTTGCGCTGAAGATGCGTAAAACCAATACTCGCAACGTTTGCAAGTTTAATTCAAAATATTTATTTTATTTTCTGATTACTATTCAATTATTTAAAAATAATATTTATAAAAACTTTGGTTTTCATTTCGAGTATTAATTTGAGTTGAGATAGTTTTCGGAAATATATGAATTTCATTTATCAATAAAAAGTATCAGAAGATATTTGTTAATTTAAAAATAAAAGTACTGATAAAAATACACACAAATATATATATATATATATATATATATATATATATATATTTATATGTATATACACATTATATACGAATTTAAAAATTATTCACTCAAAATATTTCATTTGTATGTCTTTATCTGCGATTAATAATATTTAATTAACTCATCTAGAAATGTAGTGGAATAAGTTCAATCAAGGAATTAATTATAAGAAAGCATTAATTATTCACATTATAAATAGCGTTTTACATACAATTTTAATAAAAGTGACTGCAAATTCATTTAATCAAAAAAAGTGGCAATGACTAATATATACAATAAATATGTGTCTTATAAAATAATCACATAAATGTTTGTATAACGTTGCAATAACGTTTGTATTTGCACCTAATGAATAACATTTTTATCCATTAATTAGTTTTACGTTTTAAAGTATATACATACATACATACATACATACATACATATATATATATATATATAAATATACTTGTATATATATATGTGTGTGTATAATTAGGAGAACAAGTTGAAAGAAATAATATTGTCCAATAATATTCAATAAGCAACACTTATCTTGATACATTATCGATATGAATATTTGCAGCACTGATACCATTTTCATGTAATATAATATTTTTGTATCTTGTGTATGTGAATTATTATGTATGGTAAATGAACTTCATTTTAATATCTACAATACTCCACACAAAGTGTTCACATTCCGCAAAAAATAATCAACAACCCAAAAAAAAAAAATCATTCGGATTCAAAATGGAGTAAATTTTGAGTTATATGTCCTTTATTGTATAAGTCAATTTTTGTAATCAAAAGACCGTTTTTTGTTTAATTAAATTAATTTTAAATAAGATATTGTTAAATGTGTTTATATTCAATATTTGAAATATAAATAAAAAATTCACTTACCATCTATTTCCAATTTCTTTAAATTTTTTCCTATTCTCTCTATCAGCTGCCTATATTTTACAAGCCTTTGTAAAGGTTTCAATAAAAAGCTGTTTAAGCCTAAGACATCAGGTATTGCGACTCTTGTTTTCTAAGCAAGATAAAATTTATTGATTATGTGTATTATGATTAGATATAAGAATATTTATATATTTGTTTGCAAACCTCGAAAAATTGCGCTCCTTCTTTCATTAATTTTTCAGAATGTGGTTTGTTCAATGCGTATTCTGTGTAGCAGTACAATTTATCAATCTGGAAACAATACATTTATGTCGTAATTGCTATTGCATAATTAAAAGTACTAATCATATATAAATGTAAAAAATTGTTCGTAAATACATAAATGTTTAAAATTTTTCTTATATTGCTACTACTACGAGTTTTCCAACTTTTTTTTTGATTAAAAGCTTTGTTTTGAAATTAATCCTCTATGGACAAAACTTTTGTTTTACACAAAAAAAGAAACATATGTTTAAAGAAGTTTTTTAGTATTAATGAATTATTATGTGACTTTCAAGATAATGTTTGCACTTCTGTTCTGAATATGTTATTTCAATAGAACAGCCTAGCATATGTCATAAATATTGATATTGTTTGTCTTGACAACGTTGTGGAATTGAGAATTACGCACCACCCTCATGGAAAAAGCTAAAAATTTTTGGTAAAATTAGCGGAGAAATTAGAATGTGAGATAAAAATTATGCGAGCTATAAGTTTTATAGGATAAAGTATTATAAGACTTACAAGACTAGTGAAGACTTTGCAGATTGACTCAGGATCTTCGTTGCATTTTAATAAGGCTGGATACATCTCATTTTTATGAAAATCTTTAAGTTTATCAATGTTGCCAAAAATTATTGCGCCTTTTCCCTGCAAATTCTCTGGCACACCATCCCCAGTTTCAACTTCTTTCATATACGTTCTACAAATGAAATCGAGATCTTCGATGTATGAATGCTCGGTCGTCAGCAATTCCTTGATAGTGCAGGATAAATCACTGAAAATTTTGTTCGTTTTATTCACAAAACGTGAATTATTCTCGAAATATGTTGAAATATTCAAATGCAAAGATATTAAGAATATATATATATATATATATATATATATATATATATATATATATATATATATATATATATGCCTATATTCTCGGTTACAGATCTTGCGGCAATGTCACACTTATTTCGTTCAAAATGTTACTATCAGTACAACACCTATCCTCGGTTACATGTCTGATGTTATAAGGCAACATAGACTTTATACACGAACTGCTAGTGCTCATATATTTTCCATTGTATAAAGTGTACAAAGATATAAAGGACTATGACGTCACTTGCTGGACGAGCGTTGCCGACAATCGTGGATCTCCCGCTTGATTAAATATCATATGTCATATGTTTCATTTTAATCATATAATGGCAATTGTGATGACTGATAATTTTGTAAGAAATGATATTAATAACTGACATTATATTATTAAAAAAAAATTATCACAGATAAATATCATTTTTTGAAAAAATTATCAGTGATCACAATTGCCTATTAAAACTAGTATTGGTATTTTGCTTCGAGGCAAGTTACATGAATTTCCCGATATGTGTAAATAATCGACGTAATCAATAAAAAATAAATTAAATTATGAGTGATTAAATGTATTCCGAGTGCATTTATACACATAATTGAAAAAGAACGAATACGTTAACTTGAAGTATTTTCTAAAAGCAAAATTTCAAAAATCAATCATTTTTATAATTGAACCAGTCTCCATAGAACTTTAATGATTTAGTATGTTCATTAAGATCAAGTAGTCTATCGTTATACCAAGTAAATCGTCTAATTTTAATTTTAACAAACGTCAAAAGAACTACTCATTTTCTGGAACTTTGATGAAATTTTAAAATTAAACTACTTGTCGTATGGCCTTAATATTTCTATAAGACCATGATATAAGGTTGTCAAATATCTCCCTTCCGCCTTTTTGTATTATAAACCAAGAGCAAAAAAGCGGAAGGGAGATATTTGACAACCTAATATATAATATCGCCAAAAAAGTTTCATAAAAAGGCTTAAATTTTTTTTCAACAGTTAATTACAAGAAAACGGCTCGATAGATTTTCACCTAAAACTGATCAGTATCATTTCCAACTAATATCTTTCGAATAGTTATTGATTTTTTTAAATCGATTCGGTAGTATTGAGTTTAAATGTGGACGAAATGTTTAACGCTGTTTTTCAAATTACAAAGAAACGGATCGGCAGATCGTCGCACAAAATTAACAAACGTTAGTCCTCATTGAGATACATCAAATGACTTTTAAATATCTGAAATCGGTTCAGGCGTTTTTGAGAAAACGTCGATCGAAATTTGACAAATGCCAAAAAACGATACTAATTTGTGTAAATTTTGACGAATTTTTAAAGTTGAACGAGTTGTCGTAATGCCATAATATTTTAGTATGATCTATAAGACTATGGTATCTACAATCTTTACCAAAAACTAATTAGCACGATTCAGGATTGCTTGGAACGTCGAGAAAACATAAAATTATTTAATCGGATTTTTTGTTGAAAACAAACTTTTCCTTCGGGAAGTTAATAAAGTATATGACATATGATATTTAATCAATCGGGAGAGTTCCACGATTGTCGGCAACGGTCGTTCAGCAAGTGACGTCATATACCCTTCCATCTTTATACTACTTATTTTGCACTCGACTAGCAGTCCATGGGCAACATGCATTAAGCATGTTTAAAATAATAGGGGCTACTGGCAAATAAAATAAACGTGAAGTCAACCTAATGTTATTTTTACATTTCTGCTAGTTAGTTCATGTTCTTGCAGTTGACAGTATCAAAAATTTAACTTTTGGCAGTTTTGTGACTACCAACACAATAAGAGCCAACATGAAGTAAACGTGCTTTATCAAATTTAACCCTCCGTCGGTCGGATATTTATTTACCTTCAAACGGTCGGAGTGGTCTGGCTGGACCACCATTCATTTTACATGCATTTATATGGGATAAATTAGTTTTTGGTGTTTTATATATGAACTTATATATGAATTATTATATATAAATTATTAGTAGTAAATATTTAGTTTTGATTTTTTCTTTTTCTTACCGTCTTTTGCATGTGTTGAGCTTGCCTCTAATAAAAATATTTCAAAAAAAACATACAATTTAAAAAAATCATTGCTTTTTTGTTTATTTTTCTGTTTTATATCAATGAAAAACAATGATTAATCTTCTTCGACGCCTTCGAAATGAATTTGAAATTCAACTGAAAACAAAATGAGGTTCGTCGCCTTTGATATGAGCTATAAAACTCAAAGTGAAAATATAATTTCAATTGAATTGCTAACTTACGGCAACAGGTTTCGAACGCAGTATGGGTAGAAAAATTGTTGATAATGTTTCGCATTATTCACCCGATTTTCAATGTTTGCAATGACCAATAAGTTTGATAGGTTTTCAAGAAACCCGCGTCGTGTAAATACTAACATTCATGTTACAACACATATCAAGGAATATATAAAACGCAGTTTGAATAGAAAATACCAGAAATAAGCTAAAGACTGGTTTACATATATCAAAACGCGTCATATTTCATTCAAAATGTATGGGTGGTCTAGGCAGACCACTTCGACCGTTCGAAGTATAAAAAAGTTAATACCCTTATAATTATCCTTCCGTACATTTTTTTGTCCTGATTTTTTCATTGATCGACAGCTAATGAAATTTTAGGAAAAGTCAAGAAATTTCAAGTCGATAGGATTACTAAAAATATTTTTATTTAAATTGAAGTCGAAAAAAGTCTGGCCAGACCACTCCGACCGACGGAGGGTTAAATAGATGCACTAAGAAGTCTTACCAATATTCAATATACTGTCATTGAAACATGTTATCTTACCACGGATAATTGTTGAATACGGTTATGCTAACCGAGAATAGGCCCAATAGTATCGTTTTCATTTATTGAGATTTATTGACAGGACATTTTTCATGTCCAATGGACAGGACAATTTTCACATTTTTCGGAGGTTCTTGACCTATATTTTCAAGTGAAAAAAGATATTAATGCTGCATAAGATATCAAGGTAGCACGCAGCGCGAGATTTGAAGCCAAAACCTCGTGGTTTTATGGCCTAGGCACTACATACCACCATAGCATAATATTAAGTGATATCACATTTTTACTTTATTTCTATTATTCATTGTACAATTGGCATGTTTTGCATCTCGTTAACGACTACTTATCATGGTTTCACGTTCATAATTAGGATAAAATTATTGATAAAATATTCTATTACAAAATAGATGGCAAATACGGAGAATATCAAAAATTATGAAATTTAACAGTTTAAATAACACTATGTTAAAAAATTTCTAGTGACATACTGTAATTTAATCTACAACACGAATAAAAAAAAAATCCAAAAAAGTTATTTTAAAATTCAACAATTTAAATCAGATGCCAATTGAGAAATATATCAAAATAGTTTTCATAAATAAAACAGGGCCAGCTAAGTAGTTCATTTTATTGCTTTACCTTGAGTTTTTAGTAAACGAGTTGTATGTTTACATACAGCAAGAATATAGTAGCAATAAATGCTATCCACAGATCATAGTTACAATATATATATATATATATATATATATATATATATATATATATATATACATATCTACATATATATACAGTAGAATCCGCTTTGTACGACTTCGTATTACGTATTTACACTAACAGATTGTTTTGCATATAAAATTCTTTACAAAAAACCTATAAAAGTCTTCCTTCACAGTGACAAGTCACTTATTATGATGCATTTTTTGAAAATTATGTCCTGTTATAATGACCGACAAGCAAATTCTTCGCTAAACGAGAAGAAAGATTCAGAAAAATATGGGAAGATTCTTCATCAGCCCGAAAATATGGAAATAATTATACTCAGTATTATTAGAGCCTATTTCTACAAATTATGTGAGTTAAATTATGTACTTACATTTAAAAATGCATTTGTTATGTGCATTATGCACTAATTACAAGCATTATTTTTGTCATTTAATATATATGCAATGTGTTTCCATGTATGCGATATGTTACTTTGTTATTTTAATAAAATACATTTTTTATGTACATATTTTTAACGCTTTCTGTGACGCCCGCTTTCCGCTTATAATGGCGTATATGTCGTGTCCCTTCGATGTCATACTAAATAGATTCTGCTGTATATATATATATATATATATATATATATATATATATATATATGCATATAACCATGGAATGTGAAACAATGCCACGCTATCTCAATAGAATTTCTTATCAATTATCAATGGCTGTTTTATCAATTATCTTCAAATACCGATATGCCATTCAAATTGTACCAAATTAACATTATTCCGTAAAATAGTGATACTAAATTTACCTGATCATCATAGATATTCAAACGTCTAAGATAGTGCGCACGTGATCATTTCAAAATTGAACATTAATAAACATACGCTAATTACAAAAATAAGCATCACTACAATGGTTGGCCACATATACATCATAATCGCACCTGTGTACGTGCCTGCAGTTGCAATATATTTCCTACATAGAGAAATGTGCATCAATAAAAGTAGATTTTGTAAACATTGTTATTATGATCACGCACTTGTATTGAACGAGCGTATGTAGTTTTATTTAGAGTTATAATGCAAAGAATAAATTCCAATGACATAATATGTAACACTTACTGCAAAATCGCAGATTTTCTATTGTCCTCAGCATTATCGGACGATGTTCCATTATTATTGCAATTTGTATCAAGGATCACATCTTTATTCACAATTTCACTTTCACTAAAACCAGAAACTTTTCTAACGGATTTAGCTGCACCGAGCATCCTGTCTATTTCATTGTTGAGATCATTACGCAGCTCTTCGATAGAATTTTTTGTCGGCTCATTTTTCTGTTTTATTCCATTCAAGGGTTCGAGGTCTTCATCCGGAACTCCCGGAAATACGTTATAGAAACCGTAATCCTGGCGCGAATTCTCCTCGGAAGGATCTGTTGTATAATCTTCTGATAAATCTGTGGAATTCACGGTCATTGCATCAGTCGTTCCACTATTATCAGAGTTTTCATCTTTCGCATTGCTTGCATCTGACTCGTTATTATCACTTTTACCGCTGATTTGGCTAGTTACGTCGTCTTCTTTTGGGAGCCGATACTTGGAGTACACGTGATTCGAAGCCGTAGTTGCGCTTGGAGCCGCTGTATCGGCGCCGGCCGTGAGACGCTCGAAGAACTGACAGCGCTGCGAGATCATGCCCTTTTTGGCGGGCCGACGCGCGGTCCAGCTGCTGATCGGCCGTGCTCCTGTGTTTCTCAAGCTGCCCCGAGATGCGCGATTTTCCGCCATGCCACGCTTATATACGCTAGGTTTAAAATACTTTTGCGGTGACGGCGACCGCGACGAATTCATCTCGGTGCAGTTTCGCGTAATAACCGACATCAGGAAACCGACCAAAAACAATAACGCACCAGACGATGCACGTTCAGTACTGGCCGCTCAATGCTCATTGCAAATCATACCGTGAATTGATAAACATGATAGCATAGTGCTATCTTATCTACTGACAACAAAGGAGAGAAGTTTATAGCTTTCTATGTCGCACCGCTTTAATATGATCGTTGTTTTCAAATGTCGTCATTCTTTTAGTCTAAAATTAACAATCTCAAAACACACTGAGCGTACAGTACACTTGTATAGAAAGAATATCACCAGTGTCTAAATATAATATTAGTAGATCGTGGATAAAAATATATAATCCAATGTATCGTACATGAACACTGCACGGCACAAACGTGGTGTGTGGTATGGAACAAACGGATAACTGAAGTCCAAAAGGTTCCACCACTTGACAACTACTGAGCGTCAGTACAGCAGCATTGTGTCTCGTTGCATACACTTCTGAGATAGACAGCTTGCTCACGTGCTATTGGCTTGCGTCAATTTAAAGTAATATTATATTTATTCTAATTACACAGATGGAGCCTCTAATTTTTGAGAATTTATATGCATAAATTTGATACATGAACGCGGATCATTTATTGAAATCTATATATTGTGTATTGGTTGCTGAAATTAATAAAATAAACACTTTTAGAATTTTGTTGCAAATGGATTTTGAATTGGTACAATGAATTTTGAAAGCGTTACTTTTGTCAAATTTGAAAATAAATGAATTTTTATCATTCTAATTTAATCAACTCGCCTACTAAATTATCTTAACGGCTATCATTTATTTATGGCAATACATATTAATACGCAACAAGGACTTTCCATATAAAAGCTTCAATTTGGTCTTCCCTCAAGCCCTACAAAACGATCTCATGTTCTAGAAGATTCTAAATGAGTGCAGTAGTACGTTTGTAAGCAATTACTTTGAGAAGTGGAAAAAAGCAGAATGACAATGGCTCAAGCACCAGATTATAAAGTCAATAAATAAAATAATAATTTAAAAAAACTTTGAGAAAAATCACTCCCATTCAAAAACCTTTATCATTGGTGTAACTATAAGATAAAATATATCAATTAATACCAGATTCGTGTTTTAATAAAATAATTATTGCTTAAGAAATATATTTTATTTATGAAAATCTATATTAAAATTACAAGCAACAAAAAATCAATCAACATTCAACTTTCGGAACGATCCTTCTATTCCAAACAGGTCTTCAGATGTTTTGGGTTTTCCAGCTCTTTTACATTCATCTGTACCATAGTTGTCCTCTTCTTTGAAGTATGAGGCACTTTTAGTTAGCCGATCAACCCACATATCTGAATAATGACATTACATTTTTATAACATCATTATCAAAAAAAAAACTTGAAAATGTACGTTGTATTAATAATATCGACATTTTGTTGTCTCAACCATAGTTAAGAACATCAAAGTTAAGACATTATTAATTGTAAGAAGTATGGTTTGTAAGTACTGATTTGGCAGCCGATTAATAAGTGTTAAGATTACTTCATAAGTACATTATTATGAAAGTTATGTTTAGATTATTCTATAAGTAATTTTTCTTTCTCATATATTTAAAAATACATAACATTTCCCTAACAATTTAGTGTTAAGAGAAAAAAAGAAAATTTATTGAGTTTTCATACTCTAAAATGACAAATTATTATTATTTATGTATTATACCCTTATCATAATGTTTATAATATACCTGTGATTTCTTGAAGCGTTCCTGCTTCGCCTCCATATTCTTTAGGTAACAGTTTTTGAGGAATATGTTTATATAAAGACTCCAAGCTGCTATGCGTAAATAACTGAAATAAAATTTAAAAAATACACGTATATTTAAAACAATAAGGAGACTAATTGGTATTGGTATTTTGCCTTGAGACAAGTTACACTAACTTCCTTATATGTGTAAATAATCGACTTAATCAATAAAAAATAAATTAATTTATGAGTGACTAAAAGTATTCCGAGTGGATTTATTACACTTTCATTGATAACGAACGAACACGTTAACTCGGAGAATTTTCTGAAAGCAAATTTTCACAAATCAACAATTTTATAATTGAACCAGTTTTCGTAGGACTTTAGTGGTTTTGTATGTTCATTAAAACTAAGTAATCTATCATTATACCAAGTAAATCATCTAATTTTAATTTTAACAAATGCCAAAAAAACGATACAAATTTTTGCAAACTTTGAAGAGTTTTTAAAATTAATTGACTTGTCGCAGGGCCGTAATATTTTAGTATGATCTATAAGACTATGGTATTATGACTACCGTAAAAAAAATCAAAATCGTCGAAAAAAAAATTTTTAACAGTTTATTACAAAAAAACAGCTTAGCAGATCTTTACCAAAAACTAATCAGGTCGATTTCCAACCAATATCTTTAGAACAGTTTTTGAATTTTCAAAATCGATTCAGAATTGCGGGCTAAAACGTGAACAAAAAATTTTCCACTATTCTGCGATTCACAAAGAAATGGCTTGGCAGATCGTCGCGCAAAATTTTGAAATCGGTTCAGCTGTTTTTGAGAAAACGTCGATTTACGGCAAAAAATCTACACATACACGTATGCACACGCACATACTTTTTCCAAATTTGGTCTCATTCGATTCAGAATGACTTGAAACGTCCAGAAAACATAAAATTAGAGAATCGGATTTTTTTTATGAAAACATAAACTTCTCCTTCGGAAAGTTGATTATATATCGTAATGTATTTGAATGGTTAAATTTGTTTTAGATTCGCCAATAAATATTTTTATGCTAAAGAGCGTTGAACGTGTAAATATAGCTCTGAAGACCTACCCGGCTCTTATTTTTCTCGTTCATAAAACTTCGGAATAAGTTAAGTATTTGATCAACGCCAGACGGCAGGTTAATGTAATGAAGCCCTTTTTGCCTCAACGGCGAAGCCTCCTGCCCCAGCGCGGTCATTTTTTTTACTATACTGGGCGTCATCTGGGTCAAGTGCGATAGGGTGACATTTGCTAGATCCAGTATTGCAATCTGAAAACAATATTTTTTTTAAAAAAAATTGGTATATCGAGTGCAATCAGAACTACGCGTTCTATAAGCTATTTTTGTTGAACATTTCTTAGCCTAGTATTTCTATAGAAGGCATCCCAGCGGTTAACCATTATATTTTATGTGAGTATTATATTAGATTTTATGTGAGTATTATATTATATATGGACTAGTTGGTGATAGCTCACTTCCGAATCGATTACGCCACCGCTATGCCGAAAACAACATGGCGAAATTATAATTCAACAACTTTTTTATTTTATTTTTTATTATTATATTTTTCACAGCAATAAGAACCTTACGTCCTATGAGCTGTTGGGTTGAAACTTCTCCTTACTTCGTATTTTTTTAGATGGTAACCCAATTGTTAATCCATCCATATTTGATGATTTTTGTTATTAGAATTAATTTAATAGAGCTGACTTTTTATTGGTGCAGCAATGCCAGACAAGGGCTATTTTCACTTGGAAACATATTGCTATCTATATTTCATTCATCAACTTACCTATAAATTTGCGATCAAAACAAATGATACCATTATGCACGTTCAAATAATATTGATTCAAATAAGACCGATATCAAGAATAATAAGAATAACATACGAGTTTACATTTGCCACGCTTTTAATCAGTTCATATCTTTAAACATTTTGATATACTGAGGTATATTTTAAACAAATAGATGAATGAAATGAAGCTTAATAACATGTTTTTTGCATATCTTGCTTCAATAATAGCACGAAGAAAATTTGATAAAAACAAGATATAATCTTGAAAAGCATAACATGAATTAAAATATATCTTAAAAAAACATATTTATTTTTCTAGACCATTTCCTGTCATCGTTAGATGATATAAATAGTTTCGGAGAAAACGTACAATATATCTGCAATATTACAATTGTCAGTGGTTATGAATAAATAAGTAATACGCAAAAATATGGAAAAAATACATATAAAGTAATAACTTTTAACTCTTTTTTGAGAATACTGACTAAACGATGCATGCGAGGCAAATTCGAAATATGTATTCAATACAAGTAATGTCTATTGTTTCTTTCAACAGCAAATTAGACTATTCATTATATATATAGCTATGTATATATATATATATATATATATATATATATATATATATATATATATATATATATATATATATATATATATATGTATATAAATTTCTAAATGATATTACTATACGAAAAATTCCAAAATATAATTTCTATTATGTTTAATTATTACTTAATACAAATCAAGGTTACTCTACCTTGCATATATATACAAATATAATTGTAAGCATTATAAGCACATGAAAGTATTAAAGGACGTTTTCCGTGTAGCTTAATATCTATATGAAAAGGTATAGAATACAAAATTTGGTAAATTTACATACCTCAAAGATTTTCATCTAAAACAGCATAAGTTATTTATCCTGCTTTTATAGTATTGTTTGAATGCGAAATTTTTTGTATAATTTTAAGATTAATTACAAATTATAACGTGTTCATTAATTTTAGTCATCTATTTGTTCATAAAAAGCGCAGTTCAGAAAGTTGCTTAAAAACAATGCTAATTTTGATATATGATATTACTCACATTTCCCGCAACAATCATATTATCATCGTGGTTGATCATATAATCTTGCATCATAGTGCTAACTCTCAAAACATCGATAATTGAGTTTTTTGCAGGATCATAAGCTGCTGGCCTAACTAAAGACAATCGAGGACCAGCAGGGCCATCTGTCAATGGGAGAATTAAACCCACACTGAAATAAGGAATAACTAGCTGTAAGTGGAATTCTGTCTTAAGGCAATTAGGGCATCGTGCCTTAAGGCAAATTGCTGGAACTTCCCGTACCAAAAATTATTATTTTTTTTAAAAACGATTAACATTTTTAAAAAAAATTTACTTCGAAAAAATAAGATTTTTGACAAACTATAAATTGGACAAAAAATTACTTTTTTTTAAAAAAATTTTTTTTTTAAAAAAAATTTTTTTTAATTTTTTTTTTTTGAAAAAAAAAATGTTTTCTTTATTTTGACATATTTTGGAAGATCTGAACTTGTTTTTCAAAGCAATCGCACTGCTTTAACTGCATAGAGACAAAATATAAAGCGCGTATGCGCGGCGTCGCTGTCTAACGGGTAAACATTGATACGGAACCCATAGGAAAATAAACAAAATTTATACTTATTGTTAAAATCTCTATAAAATATCTAAAAATTTGATGTGCATATGTCTAATGATCATTTTTGACCGCCAAATGGCATTTTTTTTTACTTTTTTCGTTAGATCTCCGAAACCGCTAGACCTGCCTTTATGAAAATTTGATCAATTCTTTATCTTGTCAATACAAGTAAAATGTTTTTTGAATTATTAAAATCGGACGCTCCGTTCTCTTAAAAACTGAGTTACCGTTTCCGGTACTTTTTGCCCCGTATTTCCGAAACGGCTAGACCTGCCTTCGCCAAAAACTAATCAGCACGTCTCCTTATCAATACGAATCGAATGTTTTTTGAATTATTCAAATCGGTTGATCCGTGTTCCCGAAATCGTCGACGAAAATTTGTATCCGCACATACATACACACACGCACACACACACACACACACCCACACACACATACATCCATTTTTTCTAAGGTATGCCAAAATGTTCAGAAACCTCTGAAACGTAAAGATATATAAAAATTTTTATTTTCGATTTTTTTGCGATTACTATAACTTACCCTACGGGAAGTTAAAAATGTTAAATTATTAATATTTTGTTTATTAACTTCCCGTAGGGTAATTTGTAGTAATCGCAAAAAATGGAAAATAAAATATTTTATATTTCTTACGTTTCAAAGGTTTCTGAACATTTTGGCATACTGTAGAAAAAAATTGATATCTGTGTGTGTGTTCAGATACAAACTTTTGCCGATGATTTCGGAAGCATGGATCAACCAATTTGAATAATGTATAGCCTCATGTCTCAAGGCAAATTGCTGGGACTTCCGTAACGAAATATTCGAGAAATATTAAATGTTTTCAAATAGATTATTATACAAATGTACATGTTTACAGAAAAGTATATAAACAAAACTTAATCAATATACTTTAAAATGAAGATCATTGTTTAATATTTATAAGAATTGTAAAAACTGAATAGCAATGTTAACTAGCTGTAAGTGGAATTCTGTCTTAAGGCAATTAAGGCATCGTGCCTTAAGGCAAATTGCTGGAACTTCCCGTACCAAAATTTTTTTTTTAAAAACGATTAAGATTTTTGAAAAAAATTTACTTTGAAAAAATAAGATTTTTGAGAAACTATATATTGGACAAAAAATTACTTTTTTTTGAAAAAAAAAAATTTTTTTTATTTTTTTTTTTAAAAAAAAAAATGTTTTATTTTATTTTGACATATTTTGGAAGATCTAAACTTTTTTTCAGAGCAATCGTACTGCTTTAACTGCATAAAGACGAAATATCAAAGCCCGTAAGCGCCGCGTCGCCGTCTAACGCGTAAACATTGGTACGGAACCCATAGAAATGTAAAAAAAATTTATACTTATTGTTAAAATCTCTATAAAATATTTGATAATTTGATGTGCATATGTCTAATGATCATTTTTGACCGCCAAATGGCATTTTTTTTTTACTTTTTTCATCAGATCTCCGAAACCGTTAGACCTGCCTTCATGAAAATTTGATCAATTCTTTATCTTGTCAATACAAGTAAAATGTTTTTTGAAATATTCAAATCGGACGCTCCGTTCTCTTAAAAACTGAGTTACCGTTTTCGGCACTTTTTGCCCCGTATCTTTGGAACGGCTAGACCTGCTTTCGCCAAAAACTAATCAGCACGTCTCCTTATTAATACGAATCGAATGTTTTTTGAATTATTCAAATCGGTTGATCCGTGTTCCCGAAATCGTCGACGAAAATTTGTATCCGCACATACATACACACACGCACATACATACATACATACATACATACATACATACATACATACATACACACACACACACACACACACACACATACATCCATTTTTTCTAAGGTATGCCAAAATGTTCAGAAACCTCTGAAACGTAAAGATATATAAACATTTTCATTTTCGATTTTTTTGCGATTACTATAACTTGCCCTACGGGAAGTTAAAAAAATTATTTATTTAAAGTATATAAGTGAGCTTTGAAACTTTAGCCAAAATTAAAATAAAAAAAAAATATTTTAGATAAAAAAAAATCTCTGAACAAAAGAACTAGATTTTGAAATTAAAAAAATAATCCGTTACTGTTTCGTCAACACAAACAGAAAGTTTTCTGAATCATTCTAATCGGATGCTAAATTCTATCAAAAGCTGCCATTTTTTGCACATTTAGCACCCTATCTTCGAAATGGCTGGACCTGCCTTTGCCAATCACCACTTCTCTCGATCATTACAAATTGACTGTTTTTTGGATCATTCAAATCGGATATTCCGTTCTCTCAAAAACTCAATTTTCATTTTATGCGCTAAAAACATAGGTAAGTTAAAAAAAAAATCGATTCGTATTGATGGGAAGACGTGCTGATTAGATTTTTGGCGAAGGCGAAGGTTCATTCGTTTTGAAGATACGAGCGTTCAATTTTAATCGTATTGACAAAATGAAGAACTGATTATATTTTTAGAGATGCAGGTCCAGCGGTTCTGAGATTCAATAATATTCAATAAAAAAAATGCCATTTGGCGGTTAAAAATGATCACTAGACATATGCACATCAAATTACCAGATATTTTATAAATTTAGATTATATAATAAGTATGAACAGGGCCGGTCCTGGGGTCCTTAGCGCCCGCATGCAACTTTTTTTCTAGCGCCCCCCCCCTATTAATTTTCACCGTTTTAACAGTTTATCATTAAAATTATATAAATATTTACATATGTTTTAAAAATTAATTTTTAATTATTCTGGATTTGGTGCACAAAAAAATAGATATAATCTAAAAGCGTAAAAAATTTATTGATTTTAAATTTATTTAATATTATATCAATAAATAAAACAATCACTATCATAATTTCACATTTTAGTAATATTCAATATGTAGTAAATTGGTTAAGGATGTAAGTTCGACTACCATAGCAAAAGAATTAATATTTTTGTTAGATTAAAGTTATAGAATTTAAGAAATGCATTTTGATATAAAGATCTTGATATCAAAATAATAAATACTATTTTTGAAATGCATTTCTTAAATTCTATAACTTTAATTTAATAAAAATATTAAGTGAAATAAATAAATTAATTTTTAATTATTCTGGATTTGGTACACAAAAAAATAGATATAATCTAGAAGCGTAAAAAATATATTTATTTTAAATTTATTTAGAAAATCGATGCGATTCGGGGGTTGTTTATATATTATTTTTAACGTATGTGCAATATTAATATTTAAAAAAACTAGCATTTAATTTTCAAACATAACACTCGTATTTCATGTTGGATTTTTAAATTTTAATTTAATTTAATTTTTCATCACTTACAATATCCAAAATTGCGTCGTAAACTTCTTCTCCTTATTGATATCGTAAGAGCCGTCATATTCAGAGTATCAGCTTGTTGTTTTAAAGATACATTTTTAACGTATTTTAGAAGTATTGACCAAAAATCAGTAAAAAATGCAAAGAAATTACACATTTCTGATTATATTTGATATGTTTTATTTCTGTATAGTTAATAATTATTAAATTTAGAGTATGGACAACACTAGATATAAAACAAGCCTTAAGATTTTTGTTCCAAAGTAAATTTTGCTTCCATTTTTCATATTTGTTCCACGCATGTCTTCAACATTCAAAGTTCAACAAATGCAAAACATTTGCAACAAAAGCAAAAGTTACAATTCAATTTCTCGGAATAAACAAGTAATTTTCTAAGCACTGACTCTCAATTTTTTACAATTTGTTTATATTTTTTAACAAGTTCCGATTCAACTAAATCAGCTTGCAATTTTTCGTCAATAATGCCCAATAATTTAAAACTTCGTAGGTTTGCGCTTACGGGATTGAACACTAGATAATTTCTTTTCCGATTCCACGGTAACTTCAAACAAAGAAAAAAATGAATAAGTAGATTAAGCAATAAACAGAGCTGTTATTTACTAATTTGCAGAATTGTTAATCGGTTAATTGTTTCTACTGATATCACATTGCAAAATAAATATGCTTTTTGTATCTCCGCATCTCTAGTTAAGTTAAATTATTTATTATAATTTATTAAATATTCTAGATTTTAAATAAATAATTCTAGATTTTATTATAAAAAAATATAAATATTATATTATAAATTTAATTTCCGAAACTCGTTTTGGCGCCCCCTAAGACTTGCGCCCGCATTTTTTGCATGCATCGAATGCAAGGCAGGACCGGCTCTGAGTATGAATTTTGTTGACATTTTTATGGGTTCCTTACCAATGTTCATGCGTTAGACCGCGACACGGCGCTTACGCGCTTCGATTTTAGTCTCTAAAACAGTTACGCAGCGCGATTGCTTTGAAAAAAATCATAATTTTCTAAAAATTTCAAAACAAAAAAAATTCAAGTTTTTAAAGAATAACAATTTTCTTCAAATATCTCAAGATTTTCAAAATTCTAATTTTTTCAAAGTTTTAAAGCTTTTTAAAAATTTTAATTTTGGTAAGGAAATTTCTACCAATTTGCTTACTACACATTTCCAATCCAACCAATCTCACTACTGCTTGACATCAGTCTCTCCAAGACCGTTTGGTTCAAGAGGCAAACATCTACTTGCTAAAGCCACGGAGAAACCAAATTTATGAATAACAACAAATATTTTTATACAAAAACCTGTTTAAAATAATATTTATCACCTTATCCAACTAATGCTTATTATTTTTAGTTCAGATTAAACGATTCGTTCGAATATACCAAACCACTACCTATATTTCATTTATTTGCGTATGGAATATAATTATTTAAATAATTTTAAAGTTTGTTGATAGAATGTGTCTTAATCTTGTATATAATCTAGTACAGAATAATATATTAGTCATGCTATTTGCACACACTCATGATAAGGTTAAATTGCAATCAAAGTCTTAACACTTGCACGAATGTTTATTTAAGATTTGTAATTACGTTTTCACATTATAAGAAATGCTTGAATAAAATCACACCTTATTAATAAATAACTTTGATATTATTCATATTTTGTGATTTATATAGCGTGTTTGTTATGATTTCTTATATGTCGTTATAAAAATGGCAATAATTTATTTACAAATTCTTCAATATCCATTGAGTTTTCTTTGTATTGGTAGCTGTTGATACACATTCCTTAACCTAGTGTTTGTGTTCCTAGAAGTCAACCTAGAGGTTCTTTCTTTCTATATAATAGACGTTGATCTCATTCTGGTGAAATCATATTGTATAAGGTAGAGCTGGGTTTAAATGTCCACGGGTAAAAAGATCCACTACCATTATTCGTAAAACAAGTAATAGATGGTATCCTTAACTTCCCGTAGGGCAAGTTATAGTAATCGCAAAAAAATCGGAAATGAAAATATTTATATATGTTTACGTTTCAAAACTTTCTGGACATTTTGCCATACCTTAGAATAATTGGATGTATGTGTGTGTTTGTACTCGTGTTATTATAGTGTTATTACTATTTCATTGTGAATGACATAACTTATATAGACGCACGAAGTCTATATGTGCGTGCGTGTATGTGTGTGTGTGCGGATACAAATTTTCGTCGACGATTTCGGGAACACGTATGAAGCGGTTTGAATAATTCAGAAAACATTCGATTCGTATTGATAAGGAGACGTGCTGATTAGTTTTTGGCGATGGCAGGTCTAGCCGTTCCGAAGATATGGGGCAAAAAGTGCCAAAAACGGTAACTCAGTTTTTAAGAGAACGGAGCGACTGATTTGAATAATTCAAAAGTCATTATACTTGTATTAACAAGATAAAGAATTTTCATGAAGGCAGGTATAGCGGTTTCGGAGATCTAGTAAAAAAAGTAAAAAAAATGCCATTTGGCGCTCAAAAATGATCATTAGACATATGCACATCAAATTATCAGATATTTTATTTAGATATTTAATTTTTATAGAGATTTTAAGTATTAAATTTTTCTATGAGTTCCGTATGTAATGTCTATCCGTTAGACGGCGACGCGGCGCTTACGCGCTTTGATATTTCGTCTCTATGCAGTAAATTAGTATGATTGGTTTGAAAAAAAGTTCAGAATTTCCAAAATATTTCAAAATAAATTTTTCTTCAAAAAGTCTTTTTTTTTTCAAAAAAAAGTAAGTTTGTCAAAAATTTATAGTTTCTCAAAAATCTAATTTTTTCAGAGCAATTTTTTTCAAAAATGTTAATCTTTTTAAAAAAAATAATTTTTGGTACGGGAAGTTCCAGCAATCTGCCTTAAGGCACGATGCCATGCGCCCCACTAGTTTTTTATTAAACGTGTTTGTGACCTCCATCGGGTCAACATTCAAATTAAAGTGCGGCTCAAAGCAGTTAGCTCTCATTATCAATTGAATAAATTGCAAATGAGTATATTTACAAAAAGGTATTAATTTATGACTAACCCAAGTTTCATGACCTCTATCGTTTTGGCATCGGTGGGGTCTCTATTTCGAATAAACTCTGGAACTGCACTTCTCATCGCGTAATATAAATCAATTTTTTCCTTGGCACGCTGCAAACTGAATTTGCAACCACGCAAAAAAGTCACAAGACTTTGGTCATCTGAAAAAAATTAATATATATTTAAAAATAATAAAAAATTATTTTAAATCACTTAATATTTATCTGCTTGATGATAATAAATGGAAATTGAATGCATGTTATTGTATTATTAATGATTTATATATATTAGTACAAATGTAGCGCTATTTTACTAGATAATATTTTACATAAAACGTTTTACGAATATATTTTTTTTCTTCTAAAAATTTTTATTCATAAAATACAAAAAAATAATGTTTTTTTCTTCAACGCAAAAAATTTAAAGAAATTTGTTTAAAAAATTTGTATCTTTGTTACTGTTAATTATTTTCAAAGCTTCTCAGAGCCGTTTTTCAGAAAAAAATCCTATTTTTAATATTTGTTAATGTTAATAATTCAATAATTAACATAATAATAAGTTTCAATATTTGTTAATGTTAATTATTCTCAGATGTTCTCAGAACTGTTTTTCAAATCAAAGATATTTGATTTTGATTTGATCAAAAATAATAGTGTTTTTATTCAAATAAGGTATTTGCATTTTGACAATGCAATACTATGGTATTCTAATTTCTCCCAATATTTATATATATATATATATATATATATATATATATATATATATGCATATATACCTATTGTAGTTTCAGAATAATAGATTTCTTTCCATAATATGAGATATATTAAATTATACGAAAAAATTACTGAGAAGGTCAGACACACTAATTACTAAATTACAAATCACAAAGAGTATATTACATTACACCATTAGAGTGAGTATGCATTATGTACTTAAAGAAATTCAAAGCATAATTTAATATCAGTTTTAAAAATTAATATCAAGTTTTATATTTCCACCGATACGAGAAATATTACTTCAAAAATATCATAAATTAATTCTACATATGATTAGTTACGAATTGTGACTTGCAGAAATAACAGCTTTGTATTTTACTCCTCCAAGTTTTTACAATTTATTGATTTAGTTGAATATTATATATATATATATATATATATATATATGCATGTTATTTATATAATTTGAAAAAATGATTTATTTATAATTTAAATCTTAAAATTTTGTCTTAAGGCAAGTTGTCTGATCAATAGTAATTGATCTTTAAAAACTTTGAAAATTGTGACGACACAATTTCATCTGTTTATTTTGAAAATAAACATTTAGTTTTACATTAAATACTTATTAAAACGATTCAATAGTTCATAATATAATTGATATTCTGCATGTTATATTTATGTGAGAATTACAAAGTTTGATGAATTTTTATAATCAAAACATTTTTCGTAGATCTATAATATTTTTAGTATGTATATTAAAACCAAAAACTCAAATTTTTACACTAATTTTCATTAAATTTGCCACAAAACATTTAACAATTAACTTCAAAAACATGACCCGGCTTTTTTTCAGAAAAACTAATCAGTACGATCCCGATATCAAGGTATGCGAAGGTATGAATTTAAAAAATCCTATTTTTGACAAAAGCGTTGGCAAATTTTTTTTAGTTATCTGCCAATTATAAAAAAATTGTTGGGTCTATGAAATTATCGCCCAAAATTAAACAAAGCAGGTTCTTATGCGGTTTTATCAAGTGGCCTAAAATCGGTACAGCCGTTTTGGAAAAAAATAGTTGACAAAAAGTAAAATTTTAGCTTACATACATATACTTTTTCCAAGTTTAGTGTCCAACAATTCACAATAATTTGAAAAGTTGATAAAACACAAAATTAATAAATCGAATTTTCGGGCGAGAACATAAAATTTTTCGTTGGGAAGTTAATGATTTCATGATTATAAAAAAATTCTTTTAAAAACAAAAACATAAAAAATAATAAGTTTAATGCAATTTAAATAAAAAAATTATAAAATGGATGGATGGTAAAAAATAAAAATCTATATAAAAAAATCATTTAATGCAAAAGGTTTAATGAAATTGAATTTAAAAAATGCAAAAATTGATGGATGGTAAAAAGTAAAAATCTATGCATCCTATAGATAAACAAAATTAGTATAACAAAATTAAATGTTTAATGTCTTGAACTTATTTTTGAATCATGTATTCGAAATTAGTAAAGCATATTCAATATTATATTATGAATTAAATTTTAAAATATATTTCAAATATAATATTATAATTATTTTGTGATGCATGTTTAATGATTATATGGCAAATAATTTTGTAATTAAGATCAAATTGATACTATTATCGCTCACCTGTTCGAGCTTTGATGTGCGGTTGCTTTTTGAGCCAATCCTTCAATGCTTGAAGATCCTCTTCCAGCCTGGCTGAATTTTCACCTAATTCTTTTTCAGCTTTTTCCTGTAAAGCAGGACTTAAGGGCCTTATACTCGGTGCCATTCTATTTTATAAAATTTGAAAAAATCACAAATATTATAATATAAACCTAACTGGAATAAGATTTTGATTGACTGAAGTACCCCGGTCATGAAACATACATTTCATTATTTATCAATAATAGATTAGATAAACGATTGATATTCCAAAGATTTTAAAAACCAAATTACGTTAGCGATGAAAAAGTTATCAGTCACGAAAAGCCAAGATTGGATAACATGATAATTGCAAATACAGAATCGATAATACGGTCTATATCTTCAGTTAATCTCATGACTTAAAACCTTGTTTATAACATGGATAACGTTTAGAAAATCACTATTACGATATAATACAATTTACTAACACAGTACATATAACAAAATGGAATTGTCAAACTTTATAAGTAATGTCGATGAAAAATGTCAAAATTATATACTGAGACATTTTATTTCCAAAATGTACCTTTAAATAATGAAATCTACCTCTCTTGTATAATACGCTTACACTGTACAATAACATTTACTTGATTATAATTTGATAAATTTTCAACCTACTTGTTAAATATGAACTAGTACAATACAAAAGTTAATGATAAAATCTTTTACCCGACTATATATTTTTAACAAATCGCAACATACTAATGAACTTAAAATTAAATATGAAAATTTAATGAACTAAAAAATAAATTTACATACGTCATTGTAATTATATTAGTGCGAAAGTGTATTTAAATGACGCCAAACCTTATACTTTAGATCACTTAGATTACACTTTTTATCAACATTGTTGTTTGTTTACATGGTCTTCCGAATAAATATGTATTTGTACATTTACATTTTCAGACATAATAAAATTAAATTAAAAAACCGTGCCTTTTTAAACATATTTTACCATAGTAAACAACTAATTACATTGATTTATTAATTTATTCCATAGCAAATCGTCATCAAAAATAAAAAATCAAGCTGTTTTCAAAGCTAATTTATTAGTAACCATAAAATATTTTACCATATTTTGAAGCTGTCCATCAGAAATTAGGCATTTAGGCACTTCCAGAAGAATAAAAACAGGTTGACTCAACATCCTAATAGCCCAGCAAGGAAGTTGTTAGATGAAATTAATAATAGAGAAAATAAAAAAAAATCTAATAACCTATTTTATAAGTAAGTGAAAATCCATAATACCTATTCTATTTTTGTAATATCATCGATTTAAAGAGCTGGGTCACTGTACATACAACATTTAGATTTGATTTTATATACTTTACTAAAACAACTAATAGTTTATCGAAGTATAGTAGAACTTCTTTACCTTTCTATACAACTATACTACTTGATCGGATAAATAAATGAATAATAAACAACGATTTTGTTGCTAGTCTAAGTCGTCTTTCGGTTCTGAAATAAAATAAAAATTTAAAAGTTTAAAAAAAAATTATAACAGCCCAATCAATATCAACCTCAATTGTCAACATTATCTGCAAAGCCAAATTTTATCGTGCTATAAAGTACGAATATCAATAACTAATACACAAAATAGTCAGTAAAATTAAAAAAAAATAGTAAATTAGAAAATAGTAAAAAATAGAAAATAGTAAAACTTACAAAGGTGTACAAAGAAAAGGTCAAAGGTAAAATACTGCATTAGTATTGTTGAAAGACTATAATATATAATAATTCTTGCTAGTTCGTAAAAAACCTTTAATTCATCTTAATAAATCCATTTTAACTAGTGTTGGATGGCATTATGCCTTAAGACAAATTGCTGGAACTCACCGAACCACAATTTAAAAATGTATAGGCTATCAAATTTTTGGAATTTTTTTTTTTTTCAAAACGGTAGTGCTTCACAAGTGCCACTTTGGAGTATGACTGTTAATAATAATAATTTTTGGCATAAAACGTATATAAATGTAAACTAAAGTACATATTACTACAATCTCTTTAACATATTGACCATTGAATCATTCAAATCGGTTGATCCGTACTCTCGAAATCGCGAACGAAAATTTGTATCCAAACATACATAATTACATACTGCATGCGCACATACACACATACATCAATTTTTTCTAAGATAAACTAAGATGTTCACAAGGTTTTAAAATGTAAAAATATGCAAAAATTTTCATTTCATATTTTATTTGCGATTACCATACCAAATGGCATTGTGTTTACAAACTAATCAACAACATGTCTCCCCATTGGAATCGAATGACTTTAAATCATTCAAATCGGTTGATCCGTGCTCTCAAAATCGTAGACGATAATTTGTATCCAAACATACATAGATACATACTACATACAAACATACACACATAGATCATTTTTTTCTAAGATAAGCCAAGATATTCACAAGGTCTTAAAATGTAAAGATATGCAAAAAAAATATTTTATATTTTTTGCGATTACTATAACTTAACCCTACGCTAGTTAATTACAACTTGTATAAAATTACATGAAATAATTTTGATGTATTTGTTCATGCAATCCACCACCTTCAAAATAATGAAATAAAAAATATAATTAATTTACTAATTTCTAAAACCGCCTAATTATACTTTTAAATATTATACTTGTAAGTATTCTTGTATATCTAGTTATATTTTGTTGACTGGCTGCTTCCATCTATGTAGATGCAAGTGAATTTATAAGGGTGCAAAATATGACTATTGAGAACCTTGTTCTCATGAAACTTTTACCGAAGCCAACATTTAATTTAGACAGGTGACGCCGCGGTTAAAGCTGTAAGAACTGAAATTTAAATTCAGGCGTATTATCTATAAAAAAAAATTCAGTAAAATCTTTCAAATCCATTCGCTTACCGATCACATTTGTGTAATTTGGTTTTCGATCGATTTTTATATGATTTGTGCCTGTTTTGAGCTGATATTTTATATAAGGAATAGGATTTGCCGAGATTTGTGCCTAACTATATAGCTATCTATCGTGAATAATTCTGCCTCGATCAACAAAATCAATCGGAATGATGAACATCCCCACTTAAAAATATATCAAAATTAGATATAAGTCACATTTTGCTTTGAGGCGAGCCGCATAAAACTTCCAATATGTGTAAATCACAATACTTTAGAATAATATGCCTCAGTAAAGACTTAAGTCATACAAGGTATATATCCATCCTAAAAGCGCGGCCGAAATAGATTTTTTATAATTATTGTTAAACTATAATATTTTAGGTTTCCATTCTACACTGACAACAATTAAAATGGCGGTGAGAATCTTTATCAATTAAAATAATCAGCACTATTGCCAACGATACATCGAATCGTCCTTGACTTCTCAAAATCGATTGAGAATTTTTTCATGACGAAAATTTTTGTACTGATCTACTAATTCCACTAATCATCGTTAATCTTCATAGTGTTTCATTTCAACCCTTTCAAATTATTAAAATCGGAGCAGCCGTTTTTAAGAGACCAGTTTTCGGTCACACACACGTACTTTTTTCCAATCCGATGTCATTCTGAAAACATGAAATTAGCAAATAGAATTTTCTATCAAAAACAAACTTTGGATGGCTGAAAAAGATTTTTTATCAATTTTTGTCCGAATAGACACAAATATTATAATAACTCTCTGAAATATGCTTTGAATTTAGTTGGAAATTAACTAATCCCCAAAATATATTCCCATACGATCATATTATTCTATCTGAGTATAATTAAAAGTATATAGAGAATTTTTGAGAAACATATGGAAGATTAATATTGAGATAATTGTACACCAAAATAAATCGAAATGTATATACAGTTAACCCTCGCTTTGCGCGGCAAGTGCGTACCGTGCAGTATGGGGACCGCGCTGTAAAAAATTCGTATTTAACATACAATTCATGCTAATTCGTAGTGCGTTCTTTGGAACCTTACATAGTGCAGTATGGGGGAAACCGTGCTATGAGAGCCTCAGAGTTGGTACAAATCGCACCATTTTTATCGTGCTGTATGGATACCAAAAAATACAACTTGAAGTAGGAGTAATACGGACGAAATGACATGTATTACATTGACACCTCATTCAAAAATTGGCGCGACGCAGTAGTCAGCTCAAACGTGTTCCCTAGGCAGCTATTATATAATCAGGCATGTCTAAAAGATAAAATTCGATAACAAAACTTACATTAATACACTTTTGATATCAAGTTCCCATAATCACTCATAGGTTGCGCAAGGAACTTATGGGCTGTTGAACAAAAACCGTGTAATAGGAAGTCCGTGTAGTCGGAAGGATGTCGGATTTTTAGCTCCGCGTAGTATGGGAACCGTGTACCCAGAGTGCCGTGTAAACCGGGGATTGACTGTTATAATGCACATAATATTGATCTAATAATTTAGAAATATTTTTATAGGTAAGTTTATTTATACTCTGATTTATGTATACATGTAACAGATTTAATAAACATTTTACAATCAATAAACGTGACCAATATATTTTATTATCTTACTCATTAAAGTAGCTCGTCACTCTCAGTAGGAAAACTTTTATATAAATATATCTATAATCTATCGTTATTAATGTTATAATTTCAAATAACGTTTGTGAGTAGTTATACCTCAAAAATCACAAAATAAAAAAACGAACGCTATCGTAGCTTTTATTAATTCCCAACAAATTGTCTAATCTTTGAATGACGATTCCATGTATTTCTAACACACATTTAAAATTGTTGGCCATAAGAAAAAAGCGCAACTATCACAGAAATATATGAAATGGTAATCCAATAACATTCATATTAAATGTGCTTTCTAATCAAAGCAAATGTCTTAGTATTTAAAATTTAATTAGTGAACGCTTATTTCACCAATATGGTATCTGCGGTAAAAATGACCGAGGAAGAATTCCAGCAAAATGCGATACGTTTTGGTACAAAAATAACAATATATTATCGACCTCTTAATTCTCAGAGCTTTTTTATTTACCGCAGATACCAAAACTAAATAAAAAACCATATTAATAAATAACCTAAAAATATTTTTGGATAATAAATATTACTTTCGTAATATTTCTCAAGATACTGATCGACTAGGACAACTTAGCAATGAATTTAATAAAAAGTCATTGCTAATTTGTCATCAAATATATTAATCTAGTTCTTAATGGTAAATTAACACTTATCATATGGTATACAAATAGATTTCATCAGACTACTTTTCGATGCGGCACTCATTTCGTACGCAAACTGTCTACACGATTCAGACATATTACAAATTTTCTACAATTTAGCACTCCTAAATAAACATTGAAATTGAAATTTCATATTGATTTTATAAATTTCACATAAAAGACCATGGTCGTCGATTTCAATCCAAGTTACATTGAAAATAATTTTCAAAAAAATTACTGGTCACGCCAAATCATTACAATGTATGTTTTCTCATAACAATTATTCTGCAATTTTGATAGGTGAAATAATAGAACTACCATTAATAATAAATAAAATCCAAATAATATCGAATCAAAAGATATACGTTAAAAACTATGCCGTTGCATGCAATAATAAATAAAATCCCATTAAAACATATTTTTTGAAAATTAATTTCAAGTACGTAAAAATTTTGTATATAACATGCTATTGTATCCTTAAAACATCATATTAACTTGCAAACTTCAGCATGCATTACACCCATGTCGTAATATTAGAACAAACTATGCCAAAATGGCAAATGTTATGGCAAAGTTATGTTACGATGCGTTTTTCATATAAAATGGCACTAGAAACTGTCAAAATGCTATGTGGTTGTTGTGCAGTCAGGCGTTTTAGATAAAAAACCTAACCTAAAAACGCACAACCGTCAAAAAAAGAATCTTATCATAAGTGCATATTTCTGATATGTCATAATAATACACGCAAAAAGTTAGATTGTGCGTGTAAAACGTCTGATCGCACAGTTTTTAGTACCATTTTATATGAAAGCTTAGCATAACTTAGCCTACCATAGCATTGTTCTATCTTACGGCAAAATTGGCTTCGTAATTCCTAAAATTATAACATAATCTTGTTATGTATTACATCTCAAAATGATTTCTACCATTCTTCGAGCCCCATTGTAAAAAATCTGTAATATATGCCATTCATACTTATCATAAAATCGTTACGAATACAGGCACTTTCCTTACGCTCAATAGGTGGATATTTCATTATTCTGGAAATGATATATATTATATTATATAGCAGTCGAATATTATTTAAAAATCTTCAAAGAGTTTTAGTTCATCTTCATCTGCGTTGCGAGATGATTTGCCATCATATTCAGGATATTCATCAAAGTTGCTAGTATCGCCTTCGTGCACAACGCACGGCAAGAATGGAGCCTGAAATAGAAAAAATAGAACAAAATTTAAAAAAAAAATGGAAAAATATGTCTATGATAATAATATAATAATTAATATAATTCATATTTCATACATATACAATTTTATTAAACGCGAAAAATAGATACATTTGTAGAAAAGAAGCAGAGATAAGTTAACGCAATTGCATCACCGTTCGGTATTGCACTGCGCGGTTTGTTTGTATTGTTATTAATTTTTCAAAATTTACTAATATAATTTAATAAAATTTTATTATTACATTTCTCCTCATGAGCCTACAGTTCAAAATGTTCACTTAGACCATAAAATCTATCACTATGCGACATTTCATTAAAAACGTCAAAGATTAAATCAACCATTAATTACAAAGAAACGGCCCAAACAAACTTTACCAAAACTAATCGGATACGATTTCCTACTTATATTTTTCGAACAGTGTTTGCATTTTCAAAATCAGTTCAGGATTTGCGGCAAAAACGGCTGCCATAAATTTTACACTTATCTGCCAACAATAAGGAAACGGCTGGGCTGATCGTCGTGCAAAACTAATCCACGCGGATCTTCATCGAGTTTCATTAAATGGTTTTTGAATTTTTGAAATCAATGCAGTTGTTTTCGAGAAAACATCAACCTACATTTAAATTTTGGCCCAAATAAATAAAACGCTGGTTAATTTTTCAAACTTTGATGAATTTTTAAAATTAAACCATTTATCATAATCGCATAATATTGTAGTATGTTAAGACCATAATATCTATATCACTGTAAATTTTCATCAAAATCGTCAATAAACTTTCATTTACTAATGACCAACGAAGAAATGACCAGTAATAACAAAAATATCTGGTACTAAACTGATAATTATAAAGAAACGGCTGGAACGATCGTCGTGCAATACTAAACAACGCGAATCTTCATCAAATTTCATTAAATGGATTTTAAATTTTTGAAAGCGGTTTTTGAGTAAACCGCTGCGAAAATTCAAGTTTTGGCTTTCATACTCACACAAAAATGTTTCCTAAGCGGTGTCAAACGATGCAGAATGACTTAGAACGCCGAGAAAACAAAAAATTTGCAAATCGATTGTTCTGTCGTAAACATAAACTTAGTTAAAAACATTATATGCTTTCAAGTAAAATTATTAATTAATTTAAATTCTCAAAGTCTATAAAAGTATAAGCAGTGATGATAAAATTTATAGAACTATATTATGTAGTTCACGCATAATGGTATATTATTAACGACACTTTATATAACGACTTAAAAATGAGAACTATTAAGTAATAAGTGAAGTAATAAAAGAAAAAAGTAAAAAAATTTACCAGGTCACCCAAACAAATATTTGAATGAATTGAGAGAGAAAGCTCCTACTCGAAAATTAAAAAAAATAGCCCTGCGATCTTAAATAAAATGCAAAAATAAGAGATTGGAGATAATCTCTTTAAAGGCATAAATACCAGCACATTGTGTTAAAAAAAATGTAAATTTTGATTGACATGCAATATATGCTTACCAAAATAAATTATATAGTGTAAAATAAAAATTGATCAATAATTGCAACGAATTAAAATCATTATTTTTTCATAAGTGTATTAAACTATATAATTTTACTTAATACATTATCAAATATTTATCTAACTCTAATTTACTCTTTGAATTTTTTACCTTTAGTTTCTTGCTGAACACGTCAAGCCAGTCCAAGTGCTTGTACCAGCGATGTCTTTTTACGTCTTCGGCACCATTCTATTGAATAAATAAAAAAAATCAATAACATTAAGTAACAACATATATTTATTTAATATTTTTCCAAATATGAACCTTCATATTTCCTAGTCTTTTCGTTCTGTCTTGTACTAAAAGCTTTTTAATAAGATCTTTAGCAATAGGATCTATATGTCTAGGCCATTCAATTTTTCCACTCAATATTTTCTCGTAAGTTCCAAAAGCATTGCCTTCATAAAATGGGGGGTACCCAGCCAGCATTTCGTAAATAAGAACACCTGAAAAATTATGTCAAAATTTAAATATTTAGCATCATTGAAAACTTAAATTATAACGATTAAAAACCATACCCAAAGCCCACCAATCAACAGCTTTATTGTGGCCTTTAGATTGAATTATTTCAGGAGCAAGATACTCAGGTGTTCCGCACAATGTCCAGGTGCGATCATGTAGTTTTTTAGCAAAACCGAAATCCGTTATTTTCAGGTGACCATCTCTGTCAAGAAGCAAGTTTTCGGGCTTCAAGTCACGGTATACAATATTTTTTGAATGTAAATAATCAAGAGCGCATATGATCTCGGCGCTATAAAAATTTCCTGAAATAAGAAAATATTTGTCTTAATTCTAAATAATTAATTTTAATAAATCTGTAAGCTAAAACATGAAATGAGCGGTGCAATCAAAGCTCGAATAGAATTTGATTCATTTAAGTTAGTATTCTGGTGTAAAGGCATAAATTTTATGAGATATTTGAAAGACCTTAGAAAAAGGCAAACAATATCTTTACTATATTTTTGTACAACTTACTAACTATAATGTTTTAAGAATTTAGAAAAAAAAATAGTCGTAATCTTTTTAATCTAGAATGCCATGAAGCGCAGGTTCTTAAAAAATTCTTTTGTGCACATATTCTTGAACGATTAATCTTTGATAATATAAAAAAAATCAATATTATTTAAATTTTAGACCAGAATACTCTCTTATATTATTGTGTCTGTTAAAAAATCGAGTAAATTAAGAAATGTATAAGTCGATCTTATTCGCTAAAATATTACGCCCGTTTTAAGTAAAATAGCTCTATAATTTATCACTAATTCTGCTCATATTTTATTATGTATATCTCATGTTAAAGATTACATATTAATTTTTAAATTAAGTCCCAAAGTACTTATGTCCGATCAAAAAGTAGGAATTAACACACTAGTAGTAACATAAACTGAGTCCAAAATCAATCAACTAATTTATCGTTTAAAGCAGTGTTTCACAACAGTTCTGGGTCATGCCTCACCTTAACAATATTTAAAAAAATGCACCCATACATAATTGTCATTAAAGCATGAAAAGTATGATAGCAAATACATAAAACTCATCATCGATATCTCGATTTGCTTTTAAATAACCAAAACTTTCAAATCTCCAGTTTCCTAACTAATAAGACTATTCTGCCGTAATGGACCATTGTTATGATAAGGCTATATTACGTGGCATTTTTCGTATAAAGTGGTACTAAAAACTGTCAAAATTCTATGTATTTGCTGTGGAGTCAGGCGTTTCGCACATAAAATGTAAATTCACTCGCGTGTTATTATACCACATCACAAAAATGTACTTATGATAAGAATTTTTTTAACGTTTGTGCGTTTTCTACGTTTTTTTAGCATGAACGCCTGACTGTACAGCAATCACATATCATTTTAACAGTTTTTAGTACCCTTTTATATAAAAAGCGCAGCGTAACAAAGCCTTACAATGACATTAGTTAATTTTACGGTAAGTTTATTCGAATATCGATTTTATATTTTGTTGTGTCGGTACACATGTACCAATAATATAGAGGTAAGTCCCGTAACGCCGGACGGCACCTAACGCCGGACACTCTATTTAACACGAATTATTTAAGCGAGTATAAATCTATTCATTTCAGAACACAAGTGGAAGGAGCACGGGGGGCACACAGGATTCCACGCCAAGCTTCGCCTGTGACGCACACGGCCACGGCGGGAGCAACCGTTTGCTGTTTTAGGCGCAAAATCTCGGCATCACCTAAATATCAATGGGAATAATTCTAGTATATTTATGCATTTACATTTGTGTGGCGTGCAAAGATAAAAGTAGTACTTGATTGTTATCCGTAAAATGGTAGAATATTATTAGATCTTTTAAACAATTTTAGTAGGTACCACCAAATAAACGAAAATGTCTGTCCCTTAGCGCCAGACACTAAGTCGTCCCTTAGCGCCGGATAGTGAACATATTGATATTTTTGTGAGAATTGACGTAATTTATTCTAATTATTTAATTTTGTTCTGTATGAGTGCTAACGGCCACAACATGCCCCCATTTTTCGTATTTCCTAGTCAAAGAATGAAAAGATAAATTAGATATAAAGATTATGATAAATGCTCTAGCTGAGAGCATTGGTATGGCCCAGCCAAAAAGGTGGAGTAAGTGACTTTTTTGCAATATCTAAGACACTCCAGAGTGTGGAGATGGCCACATATGTGTTCAATGCAGGTTATTTTGAAATGTCCGGTACTCGGTGTCACCTTTTAAAATCATATTTCTTGTTACCAAAGTTTAATTGATAGTATTAACTATTTGATTTCTAACTTTGTTATCTAACTTAAGTCATCATTTAATGAACATTTCGAATAATATTTTTTTATTTATTTATAAAAAACCTTAGGTGTCCGCCACTCGGGGACTTACCCCTACTCAAAGTCAAAGTATCCAGCAATATGTATCATATTCAATTTATTTGTAACGTATAAAAAGAATGATGTGATGCTTATTAATATTCTTCTAATATTTTATGTTTTATACAAATCTTCGAAGTTTGGAACAATCAATATAATAGCATCCATAAATCGATAATGATCAATAAATTTAAAAATACGTATCGATGCAATATTTTATACAAGTAATATTTTAAATACTATTATTAATATAATTCCCTACCGTAAAGTAGACTCACTGATGTAACACTAACTCGTTTCAGTAAAGTTTTTATATCACATCCTATAAATTTCCCACGACTATATAGAATTATATACCATATCATTTTCAATTATAACATATCAGCGTCTACATGTGTGTCACTGTAGTTACGGTTTGAGTAATCGTAGTTTCATAATCGTAATCATACAGTTTTAATTAAAATTAATGAACGCCTTACCTGTATTGCTGTTAAATCTGCCTACATTTCTCAGGTAGGAGAATAATTCTCCGCCACTGACAAAATCAAATAGCATGTAGAGGCAACTTTCATCTTTGCTGCTCCAGCGTCTGTAATAGAGAGGTAATATAGGTCATAATGTTCGATTTTCGTCGCCAACACCAAAAATTATTTAACGATCATGCAATTAATATCGAACCAAATCGAGAAAAGTCCATACTAATAAATATAGAAATAATAGCTCTAGTGTTAAGACCATGTACATTTAATCACGAACCAGGTTTATTAGCAATTTATTAATGATTGATAGCCAACACTAATTTCCAAGAATAATTTGATATAGTTCTAAATAATTCTGAATATAAATAGTTGATTTTATATGAAGCAAATCGAGTTCTTAAGTTGAGTAGTATTTGTATTTGTTTGTGGATATTAAAAGAAAATTAACTAATAATTAACTTTTGCAAGATGACGTAACATATTACTTGAACAAATGTAATAAAAAAGTTTAAATAATTAATGAGTTCTATGGTGTAAAGGTTGAGCCCACTGCCGTGTGCCTGACTGTACAGCAATCACATAGCATTTAGTACCCTTTTATATGATCGTGAGCTCGTCTCTCCGCTCTGGATAACCTGATATCATGCAGTTATCAATTTTTGCTTGAAAATGTATCAAATATATGTTTCCAATTGAAAATAGCTCGATTTCGGGCACTGCGGTGTGAAATGGCAATGGAAAATCTTTCATACTATTCTTGTCTGAATTGGAGTTGAACTCAGCTCACGAGAGCAGTACAACCCATTATTATTAATTCAAAAAAATTAAATTCATAAAATGACACTAAAGTATTACATAATTTTTTTTTTTTTGTAAAATAATTATTTTAATATTTTTTCCTCCTCTTAGTAGTATTTATGTTAAAAATGAATATTTTTTTCACATTTTTATTAACGTTTATCCATGTATTTAAATAACAAATCATCACCGTCAGCAATCCAGACTATAAAATAGAATATAAAACTAATGGTGAATGGCATCGTGCCATAAGGTAAATTGCTGGAACTTCCCGTACCATAACAAAATGTTCGAGGAATATTAAATGTGAAATCAATATGAATCGAAAGTTTTTTGAACCATTCAAATCGGTTGATCCGTGCGCCCGAAAACGTGAACGAAAAAATGCGGACACACAAAACACACACACACATAATTTTTTTCTGAATGAGATCAGAAATCAGAAACCTTCAAAACGTGGAGAAATGCAAAAATTTTCATTTTCGATTTTCGGCCCATTACAATAGCTACCCTAAGGGAAGTTAATAAATATATAAAATTAAGACTGGTCATAAAACCTAATTCAACAGATGATCTTCTTCCTCGAAAATAGCATCAAAACTTTTTTTTATATAATAAAAAAATTCTTTTATGTAATAAATAAATCTTTTGATGAATATAATAAATGAATTCCTTGGTAAGGTTAATATATTAATGAATATAGTCCAACGACTAATATAATTTACTAATGGAATAAATACAAATCTTACAAACGTGTTAGTAATATGTAGAATTAATTAAATTGATAAATTCATATTAGAATACGAAAAGTGATTCTCATTGAACTAGTCTACTGTTCAGGCGTATAAAAAGCATTAAAATCTTTTATTATATATATAACAACATCACAATTTAATGTTCAAAAAAATATATGAATAAACACTAAGATGACATAACATCAAGTAAAAAGGAATAAATTTTTAGAGAATCTTGGATGAACATGTAACATTATAATAAACATTGTAACTTATAAATATAAAATTGGCATTAGCATGTAACTGAAATCGTCATTAATTATGTAAAATTAGTGACTTCTAGTTTTAATGTGTTGTAATAACATATGTATAACTGTTTTTTGAGAACATAAATTATTTGATGCAACCGACGCAAAGTCAAAATCTTTATTCATTATGATTGAATTTTATATTTTAATAATTTGCTCAAAAGCAATTTTTATAGGCCGGATTCTAATTTACTGAGAACTTTTGTAGAGGTAAGGTAAACGTACCATATTACGGGATGTTAAGAAACGTTTGACTTTAAAGACGAATTTTAGAGAAAATAGGAAAGTGGATGAACTAAATCTGTTATATTTTATTAATTAGACCTTTGAGATTATTATAAAACAAGATTTTTCGTCGTAGAACGTCATTTATAGAAATAATCGGCATTTTGGTGAACCACGCGTTTGTCTCTAATTCCGTGATAAAATTCGGTTCATGAACTTAATGCCGGGAGTCGTTGTACACTATTCCGTGTAGCGCTCGAAGCATACATTTACACCGTAAATACATACAACTACCGTATTTACGAATATGTCCCTAATTCGCTGCATACATACACACATACCCGCACACTAGTGATTCGTGCTCTATAAATATCGTGCGTCATTGATAGAAAACAAGTGCACTACGGGTTTTGCCCTATTTCTATAAGCTTTGACATTATACAAATGATTTATCGTAGATGAAATATTCTGATTCTCTTCTTCTTCTACATCTGATTCTCTCATTACTACCATATTTTATGTATATGGGAATAATGGAAATAAGTAAAAAAATCATATATTTTCTTGCTAAAGAGTAGTAATTTCAAACTCAATTATTAGGGTTAAAAATAAAAAAAACATATACCGTAATTAGGTCACAATATTCTGTGGTCATTACCAAACTTAGTAACACCAAAAACACCACTAAATTTAAGCATAATTGAGAATAAAAGACTAAAATAATTCAGGTCTACTTTTCCTAATTGCGTGACACTCACGGAATTACGTTCAATGCCTCAATTGTGTGAACTTAATTACGGGAGTCACAAAATTGACACTTTCTTAAAACATATTTGCTCGATTTAACTATAAAACTTATCACTTATTAATTCTTAACAATAATATCACAAATTTATATTGAATAAGCTTACCAGTGTCACATAAAAATCTTAAGCAATTGTAGCGTCACATTAACCTAACTAACAACAGGACTGTACGTAATGGCGATCGGGTTATGACTGATGCGTTCAGAAGCTCTATATGGTATTAAAAACTAATATTTAAAATGGAAAATCGTGCTTATTTGATGAGATTCGAATTATAGTTTATGTGGTATTGTTTAAAATTATTATTCACCGACTGTTTTCTTATTTTGCGATCAAAATGAAAAACTCCCGTAATAATGTACTATCCCGGAATAGTGTACGTTTACCTTACTCCAATTGAGTCTTGGTACTATGTATGGCGATATGAGAATTGACTGCAAATATAAGTATATGTAGAGGAAGCGCGGACAAAATGATATAACTAGATGATAATTTTTTGATGATATTTATTTATTTAATAGTATAATCACCCCCAATAATTTTTACTCTTTTTAACTTCATTGACTACCAGTAACATAGTCTATTAATTAAGTAAAAACTATAGCAAAACTATTTATCAAGACAAAATGCAACTAATTACATAATTTATTTTGTCCATATAGTACGGACAAATTTACATATAGACAAAAAGACATAATGAAATCTAATTTTCAAGAAGAAAGTTCACAAATAAATCGGTTGGTTCTATTTGAAACATCAGCATAAAACGCAAGAGCCCAAAGGGTTGTAAATTATACATTGTAACCTTCGTAGGGAGGGCTCAGAATGGTATAAAACGTCATTGCCATAAATGAAAGTCTCTTCTTTTTACTGGTGGATCTTTTGGTCTCTTTTTAGGAGTAGTTAGAGTAAAAGTTAAAAGCCATTCACCTTTTACAGGTTTCAATTTTTTTTTCTTGACCCCGAATAAACTATACTGTAGTTTTCGCAAGTTAATAATATATCATTTTGTCCATTGCATCAGTATGGTATTTTGTACACAAGTGAAAAAAATGATTTAATAATAAAAATTCCATCAGACATCTGAACATTGCAATAAAATTGATCGACATCATTAGAACTAGAATAAATTCATTTTAATAGAAATAATTATACAAATAACAATGAGTAAGTCCAAAAAAAAAACTTGAAAAAAACACCCTCAAATTAAATTTTAAAGGCGCGATCAACGTTTAAACTGGTAAGATTATAGCAATTATTAGGAAAAATACATAATGAGGCCTTAAAGCAAAAACATTTAAAAGTACAGTATTACCCCGCTTAACGCGGTTTCGTTTAGCGCTATTTCGAATTAGCATTATTTCAGATTAGCGCTAGTTTATTTTTACCCAGGTTCTAAAAGGGTAAATATGGAAGATGTCGAGAAAATAATTCAAGGATTTCAATCAATTAATAATTGCGCAGTCTTTCGAATGATGAGCTCAAGGAATTAACTCAACAAGAATAAAACAAAAGTTTTGACAGCAGTGATTCATAGGAAGAGCAAAAAGAACTTTCGATGGCGTTTGTAAAAAGGAGTCTACCATAACCGAAATATTTGATGAAGTCATTGAAAATTATCCAAATTTTGACAGGAGCTCAAAAGTAAGCCGTGGATTTAGAGTTATACTAACTTTTAAAAGAGCAACGCTAAAACAGTCGAACAGATGCTTTTGTCACAAAAATGCAGAATACTGAAAACGCGGAAGGCTAACTAAATATGACCGACTTAGAATTTTATTTGTTTTTTCAAGAACATTCGTTTTGTTATTCATTTGTTGTTGTTTTGCAAGAAATAATAATGTGGTATTAATTTGGACTTTAAGAAATAAATGTTTGGCTTTATTTTTATTAAAAAACATACATTTTAAATTTAATACCAAACCAGTTTCTTAGGCGTCTTCCCCTAACCCCAATATTCTCATATAAAGTTTTTTTTTTTCAAATATTTTTTAATCGAAAATAAAATTTTTATAAGCTATTTGGATAAGTATAATGACCATAATACATACAAAAAAAAACACTTACGCACATACATATTTTATACATTCACATAACATATTACATTGGTTAAGTAATCTCTCCAATGAGAGATTTATCCATGTAAAGATAGCCTCGTTTAGCGCTGGGTACTTAAAGTAATTTTTGATCAGTTAATTTTAGACTGTTACAGATTGTCCATCTTATTTTGATAAGACGACTACAAACTATTGTGAAAACTCTGATAGCAAATCGACTAAAATCAATGAAGCAATTAACTTTTAACATGATATTATGCCTTCTAAGAGTTTATTCATATTATATATGTATTTATATTCTATGTACCATTCACTTGAGCATACATGCGGGCCGAAAGGTATTTCTCTACTTACAGATTGACTATGAATGGATGCCGGATTTCCTGCAAAATATTTTTTTCGCTTTTAACATGATCAACCTGTCTGAGTCTAATGACGTCTGCCATGGTGAGGATTTTCATGGCGCCGAACGCATCGGTCGCCTTGTTTCTGCACAGAACGACCCGTCCGAACGTACCAGTTCCTGGAACAAAAATAAAAACAATTAATTCAATCCTTAGATAAATCTAGATAAGAAGAAACGTAATTTGATATGGTATGATTCAATTATGTGCATATTTAGAGTGAGAAAAAATTAACGAAAGGAATGATATGTATCACTTCAAGCACGTGTAATATTAAATATAATTTCTTCTGTATATTATTATTTTCTTTAGATATTTCACAAAAATTTTCACATTAATTTTAATTTTTTTGAAATATTACTTCACTCAATAAATTCGTTCCTAATCATTTATTTACTTAATCATCTACTTGATCTACATAACACACCTCCGACAATTTATGTGTGCCAGAGAAAAAAAGTCGGAAAAATTCTCTAATTTTTTATCATCATACTTTTATATACTTTTTGTATGTTTTATATGTTTAGATATTATGAAAATAAGGTGGTTTATGTAAAATATTCGTAAATATTTTTTTCTAATAATTGTAATTTTTTTCAAATGTGTACTATAGCAGCCAAACTGTTGGAATTCATCAAACTCTATTAATTAATGTTAGTACTAAATGGAATATGATTAATGTTAATTTTGAAGAAAATGGCACTTGTGAAACCCATATTAAAATTAAAAAACTATAGATGTTCCTCTTATTTGCGTTACAGATCACTTATACACGCAAAAGTCTTTTAACAGTACTCATTTTAACCCTTTCGACTCGGATGCCGCCCCTCCAGCGACAAAGTTCATATAAATCTTGCAATTCGCGAGTGGAAAGGGTTAAAGCTTTTTTCGAGCACTATCAAACGGTACTGCCTTTATTGATTTTTAATATCTAGCTTAAAATCGCTTTTTGCTACAATGTTGCTCGATATATTTTTTTTATAAAAATGCATATTTTTGAAAATATTTCCAAAAAAAAACAGAGAAAGAACTTGAAAAATTCTGAATTTTCAATTGCCAATAACTTGGAATGTATTGGGGTTTTTGAAAAATTTCAAATAACATTTTTTGTAAGAGTTAGAGCTTCTGTCAACAAATTTCCACAACCGAGGAAGAGATTAGCGACCACCTCCAGTGTGAGTGCGAAGTTTAATCATTTTCAATTTTGATAAATTGCATGCAAATCGCTACACACCAGAAAATTCGGACAAAAATATTCCACTATAGATGCATTGACATATTGCCTAAACAACGAGAAAGATAAAAAAGTTTAAGTGTTTTTAAAAGAATTTGAGCTGTTGTGTACTTACAATAAGTTTCTGGTAACTATAATTACTTGTTAATGATGGTTGTAAAATTATCATGTACAATTTTGCTGATATGGAGTAACCATCAGCTAACTTTGGAATGGATACATTTCATTCTACAAGAAGATTGCTAAATATTAAATGAGTCATGGTTCATATGGACTTGTATATGAAATAGTAGCTCATTTGCCCTTTAAGTAAATTAAATTAAAAATTTCAATTAATAGACTACAACATATTAACATGAGTTTTATTATAACACTTTCAGTCCTATACCAAACCACGTTATACTTTCAAATAAATCTTGTAATAAAGAAGTACTAACTACCATAAGTTCCTATGTACTATACTAACTCGGATTTGAATAAAGTTGGTCCAATTGGTTTGGACGCCAATATTGAATGATAATTATTGTGGTAGTTCAAGTATTTTTAGCCAGTATTTTGCAATTTCGAAAATTCGTGTGAATTTAAAAAAAAATTAGTCTAATGGGGCTATCATTCAGCATAATACCTTTTGGTCAGCGAGCATAATGCTAATAAATCATGCATAGTTTTGCTTCTTAAGAACAAAAATAAATGCTCCAAACTAACTGTCGTAATAAATTAACTGCTAAGATAATAAAACATATATAATTCAAACTCATTATTTATTGCCAATTTGCAAACGCCAGACCGCAATTCAAACTTGAAATTCATGCTTATATAATTATTTCCAATTTAACAAGTGGATTCCCGAAATAAATTCTAACAGTTCGTATGAAAACTTGTTTCAAAGGAGTGTTAATATCTTATAGACAATTTATATATTTCTGTCTGCTATATTGTTTCTCGACAAGTGTGTTTACTTAAATGCACACGCTAGTACAACATTGCAGATGAATTTATTATGTAGATTTGCATAATTATTTATAGATGGTTGTTATAATAAGAATTGATCATTATTAGAAAAGATAGTCTGATATTGATCCTCAGTTCATGACAATTTGTAAATGTCGATTGCAAGTAATATTGCAACGATTTATTCATCTTAATTAGTACGGCAAATAAAAATACGAGAATTTTTAAATTGAATTTCTACTGAATGTTATTGAAATATTTCATCAACAAATAATAAATATTAAAGGAGAAGTTACACATAAATAAACATACTTTCCTTTAGAAAATTTTGTATTTTTTTATGTTGTAAACTTACTTTCCTTAATTTTAAATCTAATCTAAAAACATACGTCAATAACCTAAATTGTTTGTTTAGTAACAAATTGATTAATTAAATAATTTTATTTTAACTAGATCGTTCAAAAATATGATTAAAATTTTAGTATTAGGATAGGATGAGGCACAAAGCTGACTTTGAACGATTATATTAGGAAAACCAAAACAATTATATCCCAACAAATAACAAATATCAAACGATGTCCCCATAGGCGGGGTGAAATGGGACGGCCAGGGGCAAACAGATCCAATGTCATATCTTTAATTTGAGCTCTCATAGAGATTATATAAAATAAAATTGTTGAATCTAACTTAAAATTAACAACACATCTTTAAAAAGAATTAAATAACGTATACGATAAAGTTATATCAAGGTCTCGTGAACTAAATAACAGTGCTCACAACCAAAAAAACTAACACGGAAAGAAAATGCTTTCGTAATGGCTTTTCAAATATTTTCGTTATTTCCCAAAAATGACGTCATAAGAACCAAGGCAATTACTGGTTATAGATTTTTTTCCCTCTACTTTCAAATATTGTTGTTAAATAAATCATAACTACTTGTTTTTGAGATATCCCTCGCTTTTGAGATATCGATATAAACTTCGCTCTACCATATATATAATATATAACTTCGAAATAAACTAATAAATATTTTTTTGACGCATATTGAAAACATAACGCATATATAATACCTCTATATCAAATAATAAAATATCAAACCGCAAAAAATAATAACTTAACACATTGAACTAAAGCAAAAATATTAGCAAAATCTAAAAGAACAAATAAAAGTAATTTTCAATACAAGATATAATAATAGCAGTTTCACATTTTACCACAAACTATTACGTTGTACAAAATGTTTTTGTCATTAGAACCTAATCACCTATTCATATCCAATCAAAACATCATTTAAATGTTTCAAGAAGGTTTATAATAAAAACAGATCTATGTTAATAGCATCAATTTGTTTCGATAAAAAATCAACAATAGTACTTTGAAGATAATTACCTTTGATGGGAACACATTAGTAATAAACTGCAATGATATATATATACACACATACACACATATATAGAAAATTTTTCTCATGAAACAAATCAACATGTTTATATTTTATTATTGATATAGTTTTAAGTCAACTGAATAATTTTGAACATATCTTGTTAATTGTTTTAATCTTGTGAATAATATTTAATTATTTGTGCTAATAAACATTTTATAATAGCTGACACGTGACATGCTTTACATGTTATCCTTATTAAACTTTCTATAGATAATAATTTGTTTATATATTATGTTTAAGAATTATCCAATTTAAGAAATATTCATTTAAAAAAATATTTTTTTAAATGATACTTTTTTTTAATTTTTGAAAAATTAATGAATCTTTTCCAGAAGTTTCAAGAAACAAAAATTTCATTATTTTTAATTTAATTTCATATCCATATTTTCAAAATCAAAATATAATTTAATGAAAATCTTTAAGTTTTCAAAAAGCACATAGCTATTACACTTCCTCACATAGTACAAAAAAGTATAATGAAAAGCAGAGATCATAAATTCCATTGATAACAAAAATGCTCAAAATTAGACATTTTATTATCCAACTTTACTAGTAAAACCTTTACTGCGTTTTTTTATTCGTAAATATATTGGAAATCTACTAACATCATGCACGAGAAATGCTAAAGGTATAAAAAATGATCTAATAAATAGAAGAAAGTAATACACTCTTTAGAACTTGTTTTAATCTGCAATGTGCTGGACGAACCCGGATAGTGAAACATTTCGAATGCCAACGATTGAAAGTGATACACTTGTTAAAAAAAAAAAAAAACAGTATAGTGCGAGTCATAGGCATTTATTGAATCTTCCATAGAAATATTATGTTATTAAAACTAAATAATTTAATTACTATCTCATTAAATATACAAACATGTAACTAATTCGATAGAAATTGTCTGACAATTTTTATACTCATATGATTCCTATATTTCGTTGGAAAGAATCTATTTATCTATATATTTATTTTGTACTAAATCTTATATTTTTAGAATTAATTCATCAAATTTAATATTTATTCTTTTATTAGACATGCCGAGATAATAACTATAATTTAGAAAAATCAGCTTACAAATTGGCTATCTAATCTACATTTCATTTTCCTTTTCTAATAGTTAGGAAAATGATTGTCTGATAAATTAAATACTCTCGATCACAGACAAAATGATTTTTATTGAATTAAAATAATTTCAACCACTTTCTCCGATCTTTTCTTAATTTTAATCACATTTATAAGAGTTATGCCTATCGACAAATAGTTCTATAAATATTTTTTTCTTCCCTTTTTGGTATTTAGCAGTGTTATATAGTTTACGAAACCTTTACATAATTTTTAAGTATACGTTATTTAATTATTTTATAACAAATATTATTAATTTTAAGTTAGATTCAACAGTTTAATTATATAACCTTTATAAAAGTTTACACGTGGGTGGGATAAAAAGGATCGACTGAACCCTTACCCTGACAAAGATGTAAAAATAAAATATA